GAAACTGCCAGCTCTTCTGGATTTGCACTGGCTGCGCCTCTGACCTTTGCAGCGGGACAGGGACAGAGCTGCAGGAGGGACCTACAGGGAAGACGCCCCTAACAGAAGTCATCACACATAGGAAGCAATCCTGCTCTTTTGGCCTGTCCTAACGCTTCCTGGTAGCTGGTAGGGGCCTTACTTGATTTTGTTTTTCAAATGATTTAAAACTATTTGGGGTTGGAGGTGTACAATGGGGTGACTGAAAATGCAGCGAGTGCTTGAATATCTTTTAAAATCTTACAGTAAAAGTCACACTGCCAAGAACAATGGAGGAGTGCGTTCAAAGTGAGGAGGGGTTCTTTGAATAGTACGCAGGGGATTAGTGACAGTCTGTTTTGTACTGTAATCAATTTTAAAAATTCCAATAGTCCGCACATGGTAGCGCATGCCTGTAATTCTGACACTTGGGAGGCTGGGGTAGGAGGATCGCCATGAGTTTGGTGAGCTACATAGTGAGTTCAAGGCCAGCCTGAACTATACAGTGAGACCCTGTCTCAGAAAATGACTAAATAAATACTTAAGGTAGAGCACACGTACAGCGAGGCACACATTCACCTAGTACAGCTGGATGAATTTTCCGGAATCGATCATCCTCAGTCACCTGCATTCAGACCCAGAAACAGATTTCCACCACTCCGTTTGCAAGCACCCCCTTGTAGAGCATGTGGTTGTTGTTCTTTCGTGCCTGACATGAAGATGGATTTCCCCTTAGTTTAAACATGGCATTGTACACCAGAAGAAACAGTTCTCACCTGCTCTGAAGTGGCCGAGTTAAATCGAGGGCATTGAAAACCTGGGCACTTCGGGGAGAGCTGGAGGCCGGGCGGATGCCTAGGCTCCGAGACGTCTTAAGTTGGAGGGGATCCTGGGCCGATGCTGAGGCCAAGGCGCTTCAGCTCCCCTGTGGCAGGTTTGGGACTCGGGCCCAGGCTCCACACAACCCCCCATTATTCCTGGCCTTGTGAATGTTATGTAAATACCAGCCCAGGAAGGGGGACGGGGACACACAGGGAAGACACCAGGAAGATGTTCTGTGTGAGCTGAGCAAGGACGCATTTGCTGGCTGGGAACAGGGGACCTACCGGGGGTCCCCTCTTGCTTTTCACTGGAGAGAACCACACTGCTCTCTGGTGGCTTCCGGAAATAGCCTGGAACGATTCCCTCAATCTTTCCCAAGTTGAATGCTGGGTACCCTAAGATGTTAATTTGTAGATGCACTTTGAAATATTTTCAATTTTCAGGAAAACATTGTTTCCTGACGTCTGTCACAGCACAGAGTAGATTGCATTCCATTTACTTTGATGGCACAGAGTTGTTTTTTGGTAGATTCTGAGTTAAAAAGCAAGAGCTAAACCAGGTGTGCTGGTACGAGCCTATAAACTCAGCACTCAGGAGGCTGAGACAGGAGAATTGTCTCAAATTGGAGGCCAGCCTGAGCTACACGGTGAGTTCAAGGCCAGCCTGAACTACATAGTGAGACCCTGTCTCAACCCCCGCTCCAAATGTGAAAATCGTATGAAAATTGGTAGGCAACAGGAAATGAGGGTGGTTGTTGCAATCAGATCTTAGGTTTGGGAAGACGTGCAGTCTTCAACAGGGGCACATGTCCAATTGGAAACAAGAGCACTTAGTGAAAATGAAATTAAACAATTTCTCTCAATTTATGTACATTACTTTGGAAAAGAACTATAAAATTGTTAGAATGTGAACACTTTGGTTGGATTGCCTAGATATTTCTTTTGGCCCCTGGGCAGTCTGAACCTCTCTGTCTTAGGCCTAGGGCGCCTCGAGATCCAGTTCTTCAAGTTACTCCAGCATCAACATTGCGGGCAGTGGGCACGGCGTGTCAGCTAGGTGTTCAGCCTGTGAGCAGAGTCAGGGTGGTTTTCTGCAGGAAAGGAAGCGAGGGCTCGGAGAGTAGCTGGAGGTCCAGGGCCCGATGCTGACGCGTTGAGTGGAGCCCTCTTCCGGGACAACACAAACCAGGGGTTTAAAACTGGGCAGCTCCCTGCAAGGGGCCTGTGTCCGTGAAGGACCCAGAGCCGGAACTCTATTCTTGTGTCTTCTCCTCTGAAGGTTGTGAGAAGCCACAGGACAGGAGCACTTTGGTGCGTAAGTCGGGTTTGCATGCTGCTGCCACCACCCGCAGGCTCTGTGATCAGGGAGTGACCCCCGTCTCTGGGAGTCAGCGTGAGGATGAAATGAGCAGGCGCCGGCCTGGCTCCTCTTCCTCGCCTTCCTCTGCTCCCACGCAGATGTCACGCAGTCAGAGTGGCTGCCCGTAGTTTCCTGTGTGGGACGAGCTCAGTAGTTGCACATATACAGCCAGCAACTGTCTGCCACAGATGCAAATCAGGCTGGGCCTGGTGTCCTGCCTTGGTTCAGCAACCTCTGGGGGCCTATTTGCAGGGCTCCTCCGTTTCCCACGGAGAAAGTCTAAACTCCTGCTCCTGGCACTTGTCATTTCCCCCAGGCCGCTCCAACCCAACCCTCTCCCCTGTCGTCCGCTGAGATCCAGCGCAGCCTCTCTTCTAATCCCAGTGATCCACCCTTAACAACCACTGCACCTCAGCAGAGAGCCACTTCCGCTCCCAGGACTGGTTCCTTCCTCGGCCCCAAATCCCACTCACCCTTCAGCCGGTGCAGGCCTCTTCAGGGTGCACTTCTGCTGCTGACCCCGGCCCCTGTCACAGCCGCCATTGGTCCCACGCACCGGGTCTTACCCACAGGCTGCCTTCTTTCCTTCTTTCTGTAAGGTCCAGGGAGTCTGTTTTTCCTTCCAGCTTCCCTGAAAGCTCAGTGCGGTGTCATGGAAACAGCATGGGGCTGAAAGCAGAGACTTGCCTTTTTCCTACCTTGCTACCTAACACAGACCAGTATCTTTTTTTGGATGCTTTTAACTCCAAAGTGAGACATTTGGATAGGGAAACTCTAAAACGCCTTAAGATGAGGCTCCTCCCTCCACAGGGCCCCGCAGGATGGCGTGTATAAGACTGTATTTAACAAATATCCAAATATCTGTTGGTCACTGACCCAATGCACCGGTGCAGTGGGAGCAGCACTGTAGCCAGGAGTACACTGGAGGCCCAGATGTGCTCATTCACTTGAGAAAGGCACTGGCTGAGGGTGAGGGGGCAGCATGTGTCTGACATTCTGGGGGCAGCCACTTGGTCTCCCCACTCTGCCACCTGGCGCCGTGGTGACTTCATTCTCTGAACCCCATCTTTCTCCTGCTCTATCCAGCACCCGGCCATGTACACCTCTGTCATTACGACTACAGCTGGGGTTGCCGTACACACATCCTCCTGGTTTAGAAGTCGCTGCGCTGCTCTCAGCTTGGGTATTGGCCCCTCCACCCTCTCTCTCTCCGCACCCGCTAGAGTGACCTTAAAGTCAAGTATTCAAGCCGTGCATGGGTGCAGCGTGCTGTGCGTGCGTGAATCAGGAAAAACACAGCACAGCTACAGCACCCAGGGACTGGCCTGAGTGCTTCATGGTTGCCCAGCGCTGTTCTGAACACTGCCTACACCCACTGCTTTACTCTGCACAACATCTCTCCTCCGGTTTACAAGTCGTCCTTGGAACCCAGCAGAGAAGTCAAAGGACTTGCCCAAGGTAACAGGTAGGAGGAGGAGCCAGGCTGGAATTCAGCAGGCAGGGCCACGCAGCCCTCTGGAAACAGCCACACGGACCCACTGCTCTTGTAGCGCTTGGCCAAGGCAACCTATTTCCTGGAGCTACCCTGGCACAGAAGGTGAAGGCAGAGGTGTCTCCCAGGGTGGGGTGCAGGGGTGCCAGCTGGAGGGGAGTCAGTCATCTGACCCTGTGCTGCCCGGAGGGCTCCGGGAAGAGAGGAGCCCCTAGTGAGAGGGTCGGCATAGCGGTGCACAACTGTAATCCCCGCTACTTGAGAGGCTGAGGCAGGAAGACTCCAAGTTTGAGCCCAGCCTGAATTTAGGAAGAAACTGTCTCAAACAGAGTGGGGCAGAGGGCCCCACTCCACCCAGGGCAGGCTGGCAGGCCGCACAGCGCCGGCTGCGAGCAGGCTGCAGGAAGACAGCGCAACTACGCAGCAGAGATGTTCCCTCCCGGGCCGAGGAGGACATAGGGTTCAGCGGACACAGGCCGGAAACGTCAGGACGAGGCCCTGAGTTCGGAGATACAACCTCCGCAGCACAGAGACAGGGAGGCCCGGCGCCGGGTAAGGAGGCACAGGGCGGGGCCAGCCGAGCATCAGACCCACCCCGCAGGCCTG